TCTGAAGGGATGGCATACTCGGTATGCCATCCCTTCAGAGTGCCGTACAAATGAGCCAGTGACATTACCGGCTGCAGAAATAGTGCACATCTCCTAAATGGTGCACTTTTAGGAGATATTCCTTGTACCTACAGGTATTATTATTATTATTATACAGGATTTATATAGCAGTTTGCTAAGCGCTTTACAATATAATGGGAGGCAATACAGCAACAATACAGTTCAATACAAGAGGGATTTGAGGGCCCTGCTCCTTGGAGCTTACAATCTAGGAGCTTTATTATAAGTTTACCTGTAGGTACAAGTTACTATGTGATGTTTTCTACCACTTTAATGATATGAACAACTGTAATGATGGAGATATTTTCACTCTTCTTAGTAAAACTGAGACCTCCGACAATATATAATATATACAGGACTCCAAATCAAGGTTTAATTATAAGTTGGAATACACCACATGTGAATGAAAGCCTGGTATATGAGGTTGCCTACAGAAGGTCAACTACTGAAAATGAAGAATATATAACGGTAAGAGGCTTACACAATCAGTAGATGCCTTGCTAATAAATGCTAAACACAATTTTTATCTAATAACTCACTGTGATAGGTCCCCACATAAATTGTCCTAACATTTCCCAAGTACACCCAACCTTTGCTAGCACTGCCACTCCACCACTGACACTTCAACCCACATCTGGTGGGAATGTCACTTGCTTAAACTCTTTTGGGATTAGACAGCCCATATACACACTTAGGTCACCACAGCTAGAGATGAGCGAATCGAACATGGCGAAGTGGAATTCGTTTCGAAGATCAGGAAAAATTCGATTCGCGCCGAATCCGAAAATTAGCAAACTTCGGATGCACGAATCGAATTTTCCCAAAAATGGCGGCGACATGTGTGGCGACGGAGCGGGGATCTCTGGGAAGGCGCGCAGACAAGGCGCGCTGACCCATAATGCATTCATTCATGACATGTGATCGCATTAGCCAATCAGCAGCCAGCCAGCCAGCACTGTGTAATGGTGGAGCTATAAATTGCGGCCATCTTACAAATCTCCATTAGCCTCCGGTCATTCAAGAGAGACAGACCTGTCTGTATTAGGGACAGAGTTAGGGCCAAAGAGACTTTAGGGCCACAGAATCGTTACTTAGGGACACAGAATCGTTACTTAGGGACACAGAATCGTTACTCAGGGACACAGAATTGTTACTCAGGGACACAGAATTGTTACTCAGGGACACAGAATTGTTACTCAGGGACAGACACAGAATTGTTACTCAGGGACACAGAATTGTTACTGAGGGACACAGAATCGTTACTCAGGGACACAGAATTGTTACTCAGGGACACAGAATTGTTACTCAGGGACACAGAATTGTTACTCAGGGACACAGAATTGTTACTCAGGGACACAGAATTGTTACTCAGGGACAGACACAGAATTGTTACTCAGGGACACAGAATTGTTACTCAGGGACACAGAATTGTTACTGAGGGACACAGAATTGTTACTCAGGGACACAGAATTGTTACTCAGGGACACAGAATTGTTACTCAGGGACACAGAATCGTTACTCAGGGACACAGAATTGTTACTCAGGGACACAGAATTGTTACTCAGGGACACAGAATCGTTACTCAGGGACACAGAATTGTTACTCAGGGACACAGAATCGTTACTCAGGGACACAGAATCGTTACTCAGGGACACAGAATTGTTACTCAGGGACACAGAATTGTTACTGAGGGACACAGAATCGTTACTCAGGGACACAGAATCGTTACTCAGTTACTCAGACACAGAATCGTTACTCAGGGACACAGAATTGTTACTCAGGGACACAGAATTGTTACTCAGGGAAAGACACAGAATTGTTACTCAGGGACAGACACAGAATTGTTACTCAGGGACACAGAATTGTTACTCAGGGACACAGAATCGTTACTCAGGGACACAGAATCGTTACTGAGGGACACAGAATTGTTACTCAGGGACACAGAATTGTTACTCAGGGACACAGAATCGTTACTCAGGGACACAGAATTGTTACTGAGGGACACAGAATCGTTACTCAGGGACACAGAATCGTTACTCAGGGACACAGAATTGTTACTCAGGGACACAGAATCGTTACTCAGGGACACAGAATTGTTACTCAGGGACACAGAATCGTTACTCAGGGACACAGAATCGTTACTCAGGGACACAGAATTGTTACTCAGGGACACAGAATTGTTACTCAGGGACACAGAATTGTTACTCAGGGACACAGAATTGTTACTCAGGGACACAGAATTGTTACTCAGGGACACAGAATCGTTACTGAGGGACACAGAATCGTTACTCAGGGACACAGAATTGTTACTCAGGGACACAGAATTGTTACTCAGGGACACAGAATTGTTACTCAGGGACACAGAATCGTTACTCAGGGACACAGAATTGTTACTCAGGGACACAGAATTGTTACTCAGGGACACAGAATTGTTACTCAGGGACACAGAATTGTTACTCAGGGACAGACACAGAATTGTTACTCAGGGACACAGAATTGTTACTCAGGGACACAGAATTGTTACTCAGGGACACAGAATCGTTACTCAGGGACACAGAATCGTTACTCAGGGACACAGAATCGTTACTCAGGGACACAGAATCGTTACTCAGGGACACAGAATCGTTACTCAGGGACACAGAATCGTTACTCAGGGACACAGAATTGTTACTCAGGGACACAGAATTGTTACTCAGGGACACAGAATCGTTACTCAGGGACACAGAATCGTTACTCAGGGACACAGAATTGTTACTCAGGGACACAGAATTGTTACTCAGGGACACAGAATCGTTACTGAGGGACACAGAATCGTTACTCAGGGACACAGAGAATCGTTACTCAGGGACACAGAATTGTTACTCAGGGACACAGAATTGTTACTGAGGGACACAGAATCGTTACTCAGGGACACAGAATTGTTACTCAGGGACACAGAATTGTTACTCAGGGACACAGAATTGTTACTCAGGGACACAGAATCGTTACTCAGGGACACAGAATCGTTGAATTAAAGAGTATGTCAGACAACACGCAGAGGAGTGGCAGAGGAGGCAATGTTTCAGGAGCGAGCAGACGTGGCAGCAGAGGAAGGGGTCGAGGCAGCACTAGTCGCAGCCAGAGGCCAGTGCTCCCGGTGTCATCCAGCGGTCGTGTCTCCACCGACAACCCTGCCGTCATCGATTGGTTGGCTCGGTCGTCTTCCTCTTCCCAGGTCACCTCTGACACCTACAGCCAACGGTCGGTGGGTACGTCAGACACAACCGTTAGTTGGCATGGCCCGGGAGCAAGCCCACTGAAATCACGTGTCCTCTACCTGCCCCTGTCCTTTGGTGTTCCCTCACCAAGCGAAGTATCGCATGCTGTGGGCTCAGCCCCACTGTACAGTGAGGAAGAGCTAACAGAGGGCGGTCAGGAACGGGGGGAGACATCCGCCTCTTCAGCAGCCAGGCGAAGAAGTACTGGCGAGGAGAGTGGCTCGGTAGCCGGTCTAGAGACAGGTCTGTCTCCTGACCCACACGCAGCCGAGGGGGCTAGTAGTGAGGCGGAGACCCTAATTGATGATGATGAGGCTGATCGCACTTGGCAGCCTCGTCGTCATCTGCCAGGCCCGTAATCTGCCATGGGGTGCCCCGTACCGACTCCTTATGCTGCTGCCAGGCCCGTAATCTGTCATGGGCCCCTGTACCGCCTCCTCATGCTGCTGCCAGGTCCAGAGTGTGTCATGGGTCCCTGTACGGCCTCCCATTGCTGCTGTCTCCATCGCCACACTCTGCCATGTGCCACTTTCAGGTCTCCTCACACTGCTGGTGGGTTCCATTTTGTCATAGGGTGCTGGCAGATTACGGGCCTCCCATTGCTGCTGCCAGGCCCGTAATCTGCCATGGGCCCCCGTACCGCCTCCTCATGCTGCTGCCAGGCCCAGAATGTGTCATGGGTCCCTGTACGGCCTCCCATTGCTGCTGTCTCCATCGCCACACTCTGCCATGTGCCACTTTCAGGTCTCCTCACACTGCTGGTGGGTTCCATTTTGTCATAGGGTGCTGGCAGATTACGGGCCTCCCATTGCTGCTGCCAGGCCCGTAATCTGCCATGGGCCCCCCCGTACCGACTCCTCATGCTGCTGCCAGGCCCATAATCTGTCATGGGCCCCTGTACCGCCTCCTCATGCTGCTGCCAGGTCCAGAGTGTGTCATGGGTCCCTGTACGGCCTCCCATTGCTGCTGTCTCCATCGCCACACTCTGCCATGTGCCACCACTTTCAGGTCTCCTCACACTGCTGGTGGGTTCCATTTTGTCATAGGGTGCTGGCAGATTACGGGCCTCCCATTGCTGCTGCCAGGCCCGTAATCTGCCATGGGCCCCGTACCGACTCCTTATGCTGCTGCCAGGCCCGTAATCTGTCATGGGCCCCTGTACTGCCTCCTACCGCCTCCTCATGCTGCTGCCAGGTCCAGAGTGTGTCATGGGTCCCTGTACGGCCTCCCATTGCTGCTGTCTCCATCGCCACACTCTGCCATGTGCCACTTTCAGGTCTCCTCACACTGCTGGTGGGTTCCATTTTGTCATAGGGTGCTGGCAGATTACGGGCCTCCCATTGCTGCTGCCAGGCCCGTAATCTGCCATGGGCCCCCGTACCGACTCCTCATGCTGCTGCCAGGTCCCGCCTCCTCATGTCATGGGTCCCTGTACGGCCTCCCATTGCTGCTGTCTCCATCGCCACACTCTGCCATGTGCCACTTTCAGGTCTCCTCACACTGCTGGGGTTCCATTTTGTCATAGGGTGCTGGCAGATTACGGGCCTCCCATTGCTGCTGCTGCCAGGCGTAATCTGCCATGGGCCCCCCGTACCGACTCTCTCATGCTGCTGCCAGGCCAGAGTGTGTCATGGGTCCCTGTACGGCCTCCCATTGCTGCTGTCTCCATCGCCACACTCTGCCATGTGCCACTTTCAGGTCTCCTCACACTGCTGGTGGGTTCCATTTTGTCATAGGGTGCTGGCAGATTACGGGCCTCCCATTGCTGCTGCCAGGCCCGTAATCTGCCATGGGCCCCCGTACCGACTCCTCATGTAGGTCCGTAATCTGTCATGGGCCCTGTACCCTCCTCATGCTGCTGCCAGGTCCAGAGTGTGTCATGGGTCCCTGTACGGCCTCCCATTGCTGCTGTCTCCATCGCCACACACTCTGCCATGTGCCACTTTCAGGTCTCCTCACACTGCTGGTGGGTTCCATTTTGTCATAGGGTGCTGGCAGATTACGGGCCTCCCATTGCTGCTGCCAGGCCCGTAATCTGCCATGGGCCCCCGTACCGCCCCCTCATGCTGCTGCCAGGTCCAGAGTGTGTCATGGGTCCCTGTGACGGCCTCCCATTGCTGCTGTCTCCATCGCCACACTCTGCCCATGTGCCACTTTCAGGTCTCCTCACACTGCTGGTGGGTTCCATTTTGTCATAGGGTGCTGGCAGATTACGGGCCTCCCATTGCTGCTGCCAGGCCCGTAATCTGCCATGGGCCCCCGTACCGACTCCTCATGCTGCTGCCAGGCCCGTAATCTGTCATGGGCCCCTGTACCGCCTCCCTCATGCTGCTGCCAGGTCCAGAGTGTGTCATGGGTCCCTGTACGGCCTCCCATTGCTGCTGTCTCCATCGCCACACTCTGCCATGTGCCACTTTCAGGTCTCCTCACACTGCTGGTGGGTTCCATTTTGTCATAGGGTGCTGGCAGATTACGGGCCTCCCATTGCTGCTGCCAGGCCCGTAATCTGCCATGGGCCCCCGTACCGACTCCTCATGCTGCTGCCCGTAATCTGTCATGGGCAGCCTAGTGCTGCTCAGGTCCAGAGTGTGTCATGGGTCCCTGTACGGCCTCCCATTGCTTGTCTCCATCGCCACACTCTGCCATGTGCCACTTTCAGGTCTCCTCACACTGCTGGTGGGTTCCATTTTGTCATAGGGTGCTGGCAGATTACAGGCCTCCCATTGCTGCTGCCAGGCCCGTAATCTGCCATGGGCCCCCGTACCGACTCCTCATGCTGTGACGTTGCAACAAGGTGGAATTCAACCCTACATATGTTAGACCGCCTTTACGAACAGCGAAAGGCCATCACCGATTTCCTGATGTTACAAGCGGATAAAGGTACTCCCCTGTGTAACTTAGATGTCAGCCATTGGCAGCTCATGCGTGACACCTGCCGCTTGCTCAGGCCCTTTGAGGAGGCCACGCTATTCGTGAGTCGGCAGGACTATGGGATGAACGACGTCATTCCTCTGTTGCACGTCCTGGAACAAATGCTGTTAACAATGGCTGGTCAGGGTGCGGTAGACGTGGCGCACAGATCTCAACGCCACATGACCCCTGTGGGGGCAGGGACAGGAAGAAGAGGAGGGGTAGAGGAGGACATTGGTGCTCAGGAATTATTGAGTGAAATGGGTGGTTTTTCCACTCAGCGGACAGGAGTGGAGGAGCAGGAGCATCTGGTAGAGGAGGAGGAGGAGGAGACAGAGGACCCAGACGCACCGTGGCAGTATGCTGTGGAGATGGAGGCAGGGAGTCCCTCGCATTCCTTGGCACAAATGGCCCATAGCATGCTCGGTTGCTTGCGTAGCGACAGCCGAATAATAACCATCAGACAGAGGGATGACTTTTGGCTGTCCACCTTGTTGGACCCTCGCTACCGTTCAAAAATGGTGGCCTTTTTCACACCTGCTGAGAGGGAGGCCAAAATAACGTACTATAAAAACCACCTATGTAGTCAGTTGGTCTCTGCCTTTCTGCGCGCCAACGTCCATCCTCAGACACTGTGGGCCCTGTGCGCTCGCGTTCCGCTGCCATGGCAGCAGGGGAGGGGTGGGGTGTAGGAGCAGTGGCAGCTCCACCAGCAGCGGCTGCCTCAGTCTGCAGTCGATGATGAGTAGCTTTCTTCACCAGCGCAGTGAGGAAACTACTAACCAGCCGCAGCAGCAGCAGCATCAGGTCATGGTGGACCTGGAGCAGGACCTCAAACAACAGGCTTGGGCCTACTTGGACAGCACCCTGCCAACCGAGGTAGACAATCCCCTTGACTACTGGGCAACGAAACTTGACCTTTGGCCCCAACTAGCTGAATTTGCCCTTGAAAGGCTGTCATGCCCGGCCAGTAGCGTGGCATCGGAGCGCGTGTTTAGTGCGGCAGGAGGTATTGTAACTCCGCGGAGGACACGACTGTCCACCCAAAGTGTGGAGAGACTCACGTTTGTGAAAATGAATCAGGCGTGGATTAGTCTGGATTTCAAACCACCAGTTCCTGACACAACTGACTAAATCCGCCATGAATCATGCCCCAAACATGTTATTATTTTTAACATAGGCCTCCGTATGGCCTTCAATTTAAGCTGCTTACGCTTCGCCACTCTGCCATGGGCCCCTGTACCGCCTCCTCTTGCTGCTGCCAGGTCCAGAGTGTGTCATGGGTCCCTGTACGGCCTCCCATTGCTGCTGTCTCCATCGCCACACTCTGCCATGTGCCACTTTCAGGTCTCCTCACACTGCTGGTGGGTTCCATTTTGTCATAGGGTGCTGTATGGCCTCCCATTGCTGCTGCCAGGCCCGTAATCTGCCATGGGCCCCCGTACCGACTCCTCATGCTGCTGCCAGGCCCGTAATCTGTCATGGGCCCCTGTACCGCCTCCTCATGCTGCTGCCAGGTCCAGAGTGTGTCATGGGTCCCTGTACGGCCTCCCATTGCTGCTGTCTCCATCGCCACACTCTGCCATGTGCCACTTTCAGGTCTCCTCACACTGCTGGTGGGTTCCATTTTGTCATAGGGTGCTGGCAGATTACGGGCCTCCCATTGCTGCTGCCAGGCCCGTAATCTGCCATGGGCCCCCGTACCGACTCCTCATGCTGCTGCCAGGCCCGTAATCTGTCATGGGCCCCTGTACCGCCTCCTCATGCTGCTGCCAGGTCCAGAGTGTGTCATGGGTCCCTGTGCCACTGTACGGCCTCCCATTGCTGCTGCCAGGCCCGTAATCTGCCATGGGCCCCCGTACCGACTCCTCATTGCTGCTGCCAGGCCCGTAATCTGTCATGGGCCCCTGTACCGCCTCCTCATGCTGCTGCCAGGTCCAGAGTGTGTCATGGGTCCCTGTACGGCCTCCCATTGCTGCTGTCTCCATCGCCACACTCTGCCATGTGCCACTTTCAGGTCTCCTCACACTGCTGGTGGGTTCCATTTTTGTCATAGGGTGCTGGCAGATTACGGGCCTCCCATTGCTGCTGCCAGGCCCGTAATCTGCCATGGGCCCCCGTACCGACTCCTCATGCTGTTGCCAGGCCCGTAATCTGTCATGGGCCCCTGTATTCCCCGCCTCCTCATGCTGCTGCCAGGTCCAGAGTGTGTCATGGGTCCCTGTACGGCCTCCCCATTGCTGCTGTCTCCATCACCACACTCTGCCATGTGCCACTTTCAGGTCTCCTCACACTGCTGGTGGGTTCCATTTTGTCATAGGGTGCTGTATGGCCTCCCATTGCTGCTGCCAGGCCCGTAATCTGCCATGGGCCCCCGTACCGACTCCTCATGCTGCTGCCAGGCCCGTAATCTGTCATGGGCCCCTGTACCGCCTCCTCATGCTGCTGCCAGGTCCAGAGTGTGTCATGGGTCCCTGTACGGCCTCCCATTGCTGCTGTCTCCATCGCCACACTCTGCCATGTGCCACTTTCAGGTCTCCTCACACTGCTGGTGGGTTCCATTTTTTCATAGGGTGCTGTATGGCCTCCCATTGCTGCTGCCTCCACCGCCACACTGTGGCTCCACACTCTGGTTTTGGCCCCCGTGACTGCCCAAATGAGTGAAGTGTGCGGTGATTCTAAGATCGACGGCACTCATCTGCATGTCATACTGACTGACAGTATTATTTCTCTTCCCCAGCAGACTCCAAGGGCATTTAAATTAAAGGTACAGTGTTCTGCACTAATATAAAGGCTCTCTGAAGCCTAGAAACACCCTTTTTATAAGTTAAATTCTCAGCGAATATATTCGACTCGAATCAAATTTATTCCGCGAATTCGCCGAATCAGCCGAATCGAATTTTTGAATAATTCACTCATCTCTAACCACAGCTACCAATGCCTTTACACTCAAACTAGCCTTCCTCTTGATATTCCCTTTATCTTCAGCTATCTTCACCTAAAATATCACTGCTCCACTTTTTTCTTACCACGGCCAGAGCCTTAATACCCAGGCACTGAAATACCACCACAACCCCTACCATTTTAGAAGGGGTAGCTGAGATTTGTTGACTAATGAGAATAGGAGAATTGATAGCTCAGTATCGTGATACATTTAAGGCCTTCGAGAATAATCAGCTGCCTTGGATTACCTTTATGGATGAGTTCAGGACCCTTGATGTGAGCCTCATTCCCCCTTCATTTTCTTTATAGAACAACTGCTCCATTTTATCTCCTCTTTTAATGACTGATAAATCCTGGGTGGATCCACCTTATCCCCTCTCCACCAACTTTACATTTCTATCTCACCATACTCCCACTTCCCTTCCTTTCCCACTTCCCCTCCATTCTTTTCTTGCTTCCTGTGTTTTTCTTCTGCCTCCTACCAACAATTGGTCTATGCTCCACTAACTAGAATACATTCATTTCAGATTCCCCCTTAGGTATCACTATATACAGGTGCATCTCAATAAATTAGAATATCATTAAAAAGTTGTTATTTCAGTAATTCAATTCAAAAAGTGAAACTCATATACAGTATCATATAGCTTCATTACACACAGAGTGAAATGTTTCAAGTATTTCTTTCTTTTAATTTTGATGATTATGGCTTACAGCAAGTGAAAATCCAAAATTCAGTAACTCAGAAAACTAGAATATTACATAAGACCAATAAAAAAAGGATTTTTAATACAGAAATGTTGGCTTACAGAAAAATATGTTTATGTAAAGTATAGTATGCACTCAATACTTGATCGGGGCTCCTTTTCCATTAATTACTGCATCATGGCATGGAGGTGATCAGCCTGTGGCACTGCTGAGATGTTATGGAAGCCCAGGTTGCTTTGATAGCAGTCTCCAGCTCGTTTGCGTTGTTGGGTCTGGTGTCTCTCATCTTCATCCTGTCAATATCCCACAAATTCTCTATGAGGTTTAGGTCAGGCGAGTTTGCTGGCCAATTAAGCACAGTGATACCATAATCATTAAACCAGGTATTGGTTCTTTTGGCAGTGTGGGCCAAGTCCTGCTGGAAAATGAAATCAGCATCTCCATAAAGCTGGTCAGCAGAGGGAAGCATGAAGTGCTCTGGAATTTCCTGGTAGAGGGCTGTGCTGACTTTGGACTTGGTAAAACACAGCTGACCAACACCGGCAGGAGACATGGCTCCCCAAATCATCACTGACTGTGGAACCTTCACACTATGATTTGAATTATTTAATGCCAAAAATCACTCCCACTGAAGCTAGAACATTTTCAACTCCCGCAGGCCACAGCCCAGTCCCTGTAAAGTCTGAAGGACAATAAACTGACCCTTTGTTTAGAAAGTTTGGAGACCTCTTCACTGACAGTATTCATAAGGTATAACATTTTCTAATAAATTCTAATGTGATCTGTTAAATCCTCATCCACAGGGATTTAAAAGATCATATGTTGAGTTTTATAAGCTTTACCTCATTATGGGATAGCAAGTTAGCAAGTCAAAGTAGAGGGTGTTTTGCAGGTGAACCCTCTGAAAGAGAATGGTGCATCCAACTGATTGGTAAACAGACTCCTGGGAGGACAGTGAAGTAAGTTCTAATTTCTTT